CTAAAAGGAAAGTTATGGTAGGGTTTTTAAACAATGAAATTTGTCATCATCCTCTTTCCATAACCCTATAACCAATGGAATTATTCCTTTTTAAGGTAGTGACGGCTTACAATATTCTTGGCCTAAAATTTATTCCGCCTTTTATCATCCATATCCTTTAAAGATTTGAGTTTGGTTAAAGTTTCCATTTTTTATTCTTTAGTTTTTATATAATGATTTTTTTCCTTTATTATTCGAGTTCGAGCAACATAATTTGTATGGATACATAAATTTAAATTTAATATCAATAAATTAAATACACAATCATAATATCAAGAAATAATATCATAAAATATCATAAAATTTTAAAAATTAAATTTTCTAAAATTCATCATACTTACTTTTTATGTTAAACTTATATCAATGTTATCCTCTTAGCGGACAACCCTTGAGCCTCTGATATTAACAATTTTAACTGGCCTTATAGCCTAATAATGAAATCCAAAGAATTAATTAGTACGATTTTTTGGCTGAAAAATTAATTGGTCCAATAGACGAGTTCAAAATTTATTTTACAATCTACTACGAGAATGCTACAATGCAAGACGTGATGAGTTTGCCCAAATAGTATTTTTTATTTAAACTCGTCATTTCGACGTGACGAGTTCTAATAAAATATAAATTTTATTAGAATTTATCACATCGAAATAAAAAAAATTAAAAAAATATATATTTTATTAGAACTCGTCATATCGATGTGACGAGTTCCAAATCACTCTAATAAATATCGTAGATCCCTATATAATTTACTTTGTGCTGTATTAGACTAAATAATTAGTCCGCCTACTATATTTGGCCAATTTTACCTAATTTGTATTACAAGAGTCCAAGTAACCCAATTGTTTATCTCCGTTATTATCTTTTATTTTTCATTAATATGAGGTAAATATAAGTGACAGTATATATTTTAAAGACTATCAATCATTTGATAATAAACGTACAAATATTTTACAATCATTAGTGTTTGAATTTGAGATCTTTAATGATAATAACCATTCTTTAACTACTCATATCGATTGGTTCGTGTTAGTTAGTTAGCTTTCCTTTTGTTCACAAAAAATAAATAATTTAATGTTTCGTTGGAAAATATGGATTTAAAATTTTAAATTTCATTCGTAATGAAATGATAACAATAAAATGAATACTCAGTTAAAACAATTAAGATTCAATACAATATTAGGATTTTTCAAATTCACAACTAAATAAATATTTAACAATTTTTTGAATATATATGACAAACGTTAAAATTTGTCAAATAAATATGAAAAAAGTAGTATAAAAAGTATAGTCAATCCGCATGGATTAGAGAAATTAACAATGTCATTTCTTAGATTGAGTAATATGTGAAAATAATAAAAAGGGGTTTAGTAATAATAAAAGTGATAAGGGTAAAAGTAAATGACGAATAGAAAATTATTAAAGGCAAATAAAAGTAAATAACAGTAAAGAATTTGATAGTGATGATATAACCTTAAGATTTGTTTTTGTCTTAATCTCGATTGATCATCGAAATAATTTTCACTCGTTGATATACACCAGTTACATTCAACAAGGATCAACTCTTGCTGCTAATTTTTTTTTTCTTCGATTAACTGATATTTCCAAATCTATCTTTGTAATTCAGTCTTTGTTGGACTAACCATGTTTATTGTTGTTAGCACCGAAACAACTTTAAATACTGGAAAAGCTAGATTCGAGTTATAATGTCTCACCGAGAATCAAGCTCGATCTTGATTCCCCTTAGTGAACTGCCATTAAGTTTGTTCGTAAGAAGCCGAATTATGACTAACCGATCCGACTTCCAAACTTTATGACAAAACAATCTTCAAATCAATGTGCACTTTTTGAAGTGAAGTTGTCGTGACTTTTAAAGGAATGATCGATTGTCACTTCTAGTTTTTTAGACTATCGAAGAATGTTATCTCAAAGTTGCGAAGTGCACTCAATTCTCATGGTTGTAGCATGCATAGCATTTTCATGGAAGAATAAACATAAAAGAAGGTAAAAAGACAAAAAAAATTAGAACTATAAAATAACCAAGAAAAATGCAAAATACAATCTGAATTCAAAGTTTGAACTTTGAGGTTATTTATACCCAAAAATCCCTAAAAAGATGAAATAACTAAAAGATAAAAGATAAATATAAAATGTTTAAAATAAAATCTTAAATTTATATAAAGTCTATCACAAATAAATAGTAGGATGACATTTGGGTCGGTCGAGTATGATTCAAGTCAAATTATTTATGATTTGAATTATATTTGATTTAGATTTGATTTGGATAGATTTATTCTTAGTTCAGATTTAGTTTGAATCTACAGTAAGTTGGATTAGATCGATATCATATTGACTGATTTTTAATTGGAGTTAATATCATATTGATTGATTAGATTTCGGATTAGTCGATTTTAAGTTCAAGTGAACCTTTGGATCTTTGGGTTAACTTGAGTGAAGTTGGACAACAATCCAATCGAATATATAGAGAATTGTTTTACATATATTCTTATAAAAAATGTATTTTTTTTTCATTTTTCGAACTCATCGTTTAGGTTGAATTTCATTAGAATTCAATTATAAATTGGAAACCAAATCTTGGGGCTTTGAAGATATGTGTGGATGGGACTGTTATGGCTTGGGTTGGGTCAGGTGATTCCAGTCCATGGTTGAAGCTTCAGCTATTACGTATGGCGTGCAACTCTTTACTGATTTGCATTTCCACTCCGTTGTGGTAGAGAGTGATGCTTCTAATCTCTGTTTCGCTATTTCTTCTTCTCCGGTGAGGCGCTGCCAACTCATCACAACATTCTCAACCTTGGCTTCCTTTGCTATTTCTTTGGATGCTCCATTGTATTTTGAACATGAATATCCTGATTACAAGCTACTTCTTGTAAAAAATTATAAGCCATTTTCTAAAAAATATGTTACTTTTTTTAATAAGACTAAAAAAATCCGAACAAAAAATGTCAAATCAATTTAACCTTAGCTTCATACAATCTTTTTTATTCATCCAGTCATCATTTATTCATTTCCTTTCAATCACTCAAGCCTCTACAATCCCTTCAATGATATCCAAAAAAGAGAAGTGTTTCTTTATAAATTCTTTGTTTTTACTTTTTAAGAAGCTTAGTTAACCCAATAAGAATTATAAAAGAGGAGAAAATGGCAAAAGCATGGCTTATGACCATGGTTTTAACGTCAATCAGCATTTCGTCCCTCATCAGCTTCGCCCTTGCCGCTGAGAAGTTCAATGTAGTGGGCAAAGTCTACTGTGACACTTGTCGAGTGGAGTTCGAAACCAAACTCAGTGAACCCATTCCAGGTTTGTTGAACGCCACATCTCCCATTAAATCTCATCAAAGATGGCCTACTACTATGCTTAAGCTTGGGTGTGTTTGCAGTGACGGATCTAGAAATTTAAAAATAGGGTCCAAAATTTTAATTTTTTTTTCTTAAAAATAATAGGTATGCAAAAATTGTAATTTTTTCTTTTTTCCTTAACACGTTAAGTTAAATTTAACCAATTTTCCAAAATAATGGGATGCACTTGGCCCCTAAGGGAGCTTAGTGCATCCGCCACTGTGTGTTTGCAGGTGCGACGGTGAAGCTGGAATGCAGGAAGGTAAGGGACGAAGCAGTTACATTCAGTCGAGAGGCAGTTACTAATGTGATGGGTGGATACAGCATCCCGGTGGAGGGAGACCACGAAGCCGAGATTTGCAAGGTAAGCGTGGACAAGAGTACCCGCCCAGATTGCAATGAAAAGATGGAATCATGGGAAAAATCTCAGGTGGAGCTCACCACCCAAGATGGCCTAGCTGACCCTCTTAGAACTGCTAACAATCTTGGCTTCATGAAGAAGGAAGCCCTTCCTGGTTGCCCTCAAGTTCTTAAAGAGATGGGCTTTCCTCTCACTCCCTGAACATTTTAAATGTTGGATTCATTTACCAGGAAAACTTGATACTTAGCTGTTTTCAATGTTTGTGCACAACCTGTCATAAGTCGTAACATATATGAAGAAGCACATAATATCTAATACCACCCTGCCTCCATGCCAGCAGATCCTCTCATTTCATCTTGTAAATGTAACCAAGTGCCACTTTAATAAAATTCAATACATATTTCTCACATGTTATATAAGTTTTACTAGAAATTGTATGCAAGTTTTAAGAATAAAATTCAAGAAAATTTCAAAAGTGGGTACAACGTGATTCACGCCAGACCCTTAGGAAAGGAATCAAGCATCTAGCCACTAAGTTAAGCATATTTAACATATTTGATCTTATATCCTCTTATATATTGTATCAAAAACGTTATTAATCAAATTAAACCCAATCTACTCATGAACATAAAAATTGGAAAAGAAAAGCTTATGTATTCAAGAAAGAAAAAAAATGTTGCACGACCTCTTTAAGAGTTTAAGTGGTGTAATGAATTTCACAACGAAACAAATAGCTAGTTTAATAGGCTAAGATAAATTATAAAGCTAATATTCTTTATTAAACGAGACATACGCGTAATGCCTCAGATCTCCACCCAGGGGAGTGGCAGGCCAAACAGAAAATAGTAGAGAAGCTGACGGTAAATACGAAAAAATGAAGGTGAAAGGAAGGGAAGAGAGAGAGAAGGTGAAGGTGGGAAAAGGGAAGAAAGAGAGTGGAAACGGGTACTTTAATGAAGACTCGGCAACAAAATTAACAAGTAATAGTAGCCAGATAGATCATCTGAATCCTGGTCTTCATAAGAGATAAAATAACAGTGTGAAGAAGAATGCAGCCATGGTTGAGATCATGAAGAGCTGACCGGAACACAAATCAAACTCTGGCAAAAAAAATTCAAAATATTTTGTTCCCATCGATGAACAAGCCGATGTTTACCAGAAAACCCAACATATGCAGGAAGTAATGAAATTCAAAACTTGACAGCCTACATGCATGGTTCATAAAAATAACAAGAACTCAGGCTACAGATAAAAAAGATTTTTGATGCTGACTTAACCAAATCTTACAATGCAGATCAAAGGGCAGAATCATATAAGTTAATCATTAGATAAACTAAGCAAGCATCCATGCCTGTCTGAAATACAAGCACCTTTTATAAGGCGAGTTGTAATACATGAAAGGTGAAAATATGTTTAAAGATAGTGCAATAGAGTCATAGTGGCTCGACCTATATGATATTGAGGAGATTTGCATGGCCGATCCAAATAACAGTCGGGATAACACTCACTTTCCACTGCAGAATTAAAATATAAAATAATTCAAATCTGAGTGTTAAAGAAAGAAAGCAAGCTAGTTTATTTAAGTTCACTCACCTATTCATCATAAGGGTAATGTTGTCTCCTTTAAGAAGAATCCTTCCTGAAATTATAAACAAACATATAAGATGGTACGCAAACAACAAGAGAGGAACGGTAAGATTATAAGAGTAAGCCAATTCACCTAATGTCTTTCTGCTTTTTTTCTTGATGTTAACTTCTTCAGCATCATCCAGCACCAAATTCATGTACTCATCGAAACCCTATAATGTGCAGAATTGGGCATATAAGAATCTGAATATGATCGTCAATAAGTCACAAAGCATATAAGAGTTTTAATACTTTTGTCTGTCAGAACAATTCTACAAAATTTGGGAGTCATACCAATATTCACTATTGTTAACAGGGTTTCAAATCACGGTCAGAAAAAGTGATTTCGTCCACGAAATAGCAGTTTCGAATCACGGTAAACCCGAAATGAACAAAAACACGACCTCAATTTGAAACCCTGCTATTGTATGCGTGCATACATGGAATTTAAGATCTTTACTTCACCTGAAACCTAAGGAATATGGGATATTTCAGAAACATAGGACTTAATGCACCCAGATGCAAAAATTAAAGTGGGATTCCAGGCCAAAACCTTTTTTGGGGAAATTAAAATTCCTCAAATCTTCAGCATATTAAGTAGCTTCAAAATGTTTATTTAAAGAAAATTGCATATAAAACTTACAATGATTCGGCCTTCAATCCTTAAATCTTTCTGCTCAAAAAGCCAAATCTGAATGCGAGCTTTCTAAATATTTCCAATTCAAAATAGATAGATAAAAAGTCGAACAATTAGTTAACAAACAAGCATACCCATAAAAGAGAATGAAGAAAACAGAGCGGGACGAACAGACTTACACTTTGAAGAAACCTGAAGATCAGGTTCTGTTGCCACAGAATAACCCGGAAAGAAAAGAAAGAAATCAGCAACTAAGGATATATTCAGAAAGAAAAAGAAAGAAAGATGTACGCACAATGGGTTGAGTCATAATTCTCTGGACTTTGGTGCTCGCCATGGCTGCAAAATAAAAACTCGAACGCCTCGTTCCTCTTTGTCGAAAGGTTTTGAGTTGATGAAATGAGCTCTTAAACCCTAGTTTCAAAGAGAATAGCTCGTATTAAGTTGGAAACAAAAAGCCACCCGAGCCCCACTCCTTTCATCTCATTTCCTTCTTTTTTGGGCTTAATGCTGTTTTTTCACTTGAATTTTTACTTAATTTTCAATTTAGTCCCTATATGGTACCCTTTGTCCATTTAAAAAAAGTCATTCCATTCAATCAAAATTTGTTTTATGTAATAAAATTTATATATATATATATATATATATATATAAAAGATTAAAAAAAACTCTATGTTTTAAATTGTTTATTTTTCTAAAAAATTAGTAATTATGTTTAACTATTTTTAAGGAAAAACTATTGAAACGGACAGTGGCTTTTACAAATATACACATTTGATCATCAAATTTTAAAAAGTGATATTTTGGTCATTTATGCTATCATTTTATAATTTCAGTTTATGATATTTTGATCACTGAAAAATTAAATATTATAACACGTCAGTAAAAAATGTTAATTTTAATTTGATTCTTAAATTTTAAATAAAATATGATCTCTACATTAAATAAAATAGTAATTTTATCTGAGACTTGAAATAAAATATTAATTTAATTCATGAATTTGATCAAAATTATCATTAGGATGCTCCTCACCACCAACGTTGATCACTGCTATCTATATATTCTTTGCACAGAGATTGTGCGAAGTGGCGTGTCAAACTCTTTGAACGGAATTAACGATTATTGTTATTCTTTAGTTGAATGCCATCATGCACTTATGTTGGTTTTAGAAGATACTTTTTCAACTTCGAAAATGTTGAGTTTGGTTTAGTTGATTGTTTTATTAAGTAGTTTCTTCTCGAGGCAGATTGTCGAGATGGTTTACTTGAAAATTGAACTTATATCGGCTTATTCCTTTTTTGTAGGTTGAAATCAAGAAGGTTGTATTGGAAAATCTGTATGTTGCGATACGAAATATTAGTATTGATTGAAAAATATAACATAAAATATTTAAATAGAATGATAACTTTATCGTGGTATTAACAGCTGTATTACAGGTAAATTCATCTCGAAGTGTATACTCGCTGCAATGGACGAATGACCCTCCAAGATTAGCACACTCTCCAAATTTTGTACACTCAAAAGATAGAGTGGATTTTGGTGGTACTACCCTTCTCTCAACTCAAAACAACACTCAAAAGAGGAAGAGTGTTTCAAAGCAAATATTTGCTTGGAATGTCTTTCAAAAGAGTAAAATTTCCCACAATTTATAGGCTAAATAGTGAGGGCAAACATGTCACTTTCAAAGCACAATTTAAGACTATTTATAATAAAATAAAATGTCATTATGGAGTGAGTTACATTTTGAGCATCAACAACATTTCCCCACTAATGTGAAATAATTTATTTGTAAAAATGAGAGCATTGAAGTTAAAACACGAGAAGAGCAATAACGTATTAGTTATTTAAGCACTGGTGAACATCTATTGAACTAATACATAGTTAAGATGAGTAATTCTTCTCTTAGATAAATGAACAAATCTTGAACAACGTTCATCTTTGACTTTAATCATCATTTTAAGATACTTTGTATTTCTAACATTTTTAGGATAGAAATAAATTCATAAGTGTATTGAACAACGTGTAAACAAATTCTCTTACACATACTCAATCATCCTAGTGTAAAGTCTGTTGTGAGTTTTAACCACACAATTATGCTTTAACAAACTCAAATCTTGTTTACACATGATTATATTTTTTAATTTTGAGAAGTCACTAATCATTAAAATTAATATGTATAATCTCAAACGATTATGAAATTCCTTATATCTCATCGGTATTTATTCATATTCTTTCTCATTCAAAAGAAATTTCAATTTTTCCTAATTCTTCATAAGAAATGTTTAAAAATTTATGAATATTATGAAAAAATTTATTAGGAGTTTTTTAACTTTTTTTTAGCAATAGGAAATTTATCTCAAGTATCTCTCAAATAGATTCCAACATAACTTCTTAGGATAGATAAACATTTTTTTTCTTTTTTCTACTTTGGAAAAGAATTCAAAGAGATTTAGTAACTACAAACAATCTTTTAGTAGCACTAAAGTCTATCATATTCTCATTCAAATTATTCATTAGTCCTAAAGAGACCATCACATATTTTATTTGCTAGTACTAAATTTGATATTCTACTCAATCAAATTAATCTCTACTCTTTTAACTTCTACGCTAAGTTTAAAAGAGTTTAACTTGTTGTAGTATTTTATAAATAGGAATAGCAAGCATGGTAATGAACAATTCACTAGGTAGGTGTTTAAGAAAGAGAGGTGTTGCACTAGACACACTTAAATATCAGGTCTTCATAGAACCAATCTTAGACACACACTTTTATACTTATTCAACTATTTTCCAATAGATCATTTATGAATGTTCTATTTCTTAATACTTCTTAAGAATTATACTTGGTAACTTTGCTCACAACAGTATCTTCTTAATCATACACATTTTGGGCTCACTACTACCTTAGCCTTAGTAATTTTTTACTACCTTTTGTCTATATTAGTGATTTATCTCATTTCATATTCCACTAAGTTGTAAAGATTAATTTAAAGGTTCATTTATTCTAATTCATATATTTTAAAAACATAAATTAACAAGCAACCAGTCTAAATGATCTGACTTCGCAGGTAGAATCATAATTCTCAGGCAGACTTGTTCATTCCGACAATGCCTACAACGTCAACTTTTTCTTTAATTAGAATTACACCAAATCTAATAATTAGTATAAATTCAATAATATTAGACTTTGAAATTTACTAGCGGTAATAAATTTTCATAAAAATTACTAATAATAATAAAATCCTTATCTTTAGGATTTGTCAACTAATTGATTTAGGAAATCTTCTAATTTCAGCTTCATCTCTCTCTAAAATTGCAATTGTTATGTATGTTTCAAATTTCTCAACAACAAAAATAATTGTTGTATGACATCATCACTTGTCATATTTCACCATGTTATATTCATACAAAAGAAAAATTGAATGTTAAATCAAATATCATGTCATATGGTTCACTTCTCATATAACATGACAATATAAATTTAGTATTAATTTAAAGAAAAGAACCAAAAAAAATCGTTATACTCGTTGAAAATTCGTTCATTTCCTTCAATAATTAGTATTAACCACGCACTTAATATTAATTATTAAGAGTATAAATTTAAAATAATTTTAATGCTATTAATAATTATTAAAAGCTATGAACTCATTTAAACATCAATACAGAATTTAAAATAGCATTTAAAACTACTTTTGATCAAATAGATACTCACACTAATAATTATTTAAGAAATTATAAGTTCCGCATTTATAACCATTCAAATCTCACTTTATATTTTCCTAAATGATCATAAATGATAATTGCTAATTCTAATTATGATTTTTATCATAAGTAATAATAATTATAACCTTCACATGTAATAGTCGCAACCCCTTTCCAGTCTGTAACGCCCCGAAAATCGGGTTAGTAGTTTAAGTTAACCCAAGATATATTTTAGAGCCCCAAAAGATTTATTAAAATAGTTTAGACCAAGTTTATTTGGAATTGGGCTGAGTTGGGCCCAAGAGAATTATGAAAGGTGATGACAATTTTATGATTTGGAAAGTGTAGGGACTTAAAGTGTAAATTACCTATTTTTATTTTGAAACCTGAAACCCCCTTATTTTTATATGGTTTACATGAACCAACCCTATAATATCTTACCAAATTCCTATTCTTCTTCTTTCCATTTTCTTCTCTTCCTCTTCCTTTCCAAAAGTAAGATATCTAGCAATCTAAGTCTAGTTTGTTTCAAATAAGGTAAGATTGTTAATCCTCATTCTTCTAGCTTTAATTTAAGCTCAACATTGCAAGTTTTAGCCTTGGAAACCAAAAATGAGTTTTTGTGGGGTTTATGAGAATCTAAGGATCCTAACTCTTTTTGGGAAGATTTGAATTATAAGGAGTAAAATTATATTGTTTTGAACTTTTAGTTGAGTTAATGAACCATTCTCTACCTTGTTTAATGAAAGAGGTAGGAGAGAGTTCCAAAGCAAAAGGAAAAAAAACAAAGTGACTCCTAGTTGACTTGGGGAGGAAAGTTTAGCATAAAAAAATTCAAGGTAATCACTCTTACAACTCTTTTAGACTCTCTAGTAGGTCAATTTGAAGTGCAATGTAGCATAGAGATTGATATTAAAGCTTGATGAGCATGTCCATGGTAAGTGTTATGTTTTATGTTATTAGCATGTATTAAAGCCTTATTTATGAGCCTCAGTTACCACATAAGACACTAATAACAATTGGGAACCTCGAGGTAGCAATGTGGGTGAGTTTAAATAGGGGCATTTCGAGCAATGGTATCGATAATGAATAAAATAATATTGATACAGTTCTTCAATCAACTTAAAAATGGTTCAAGTTTAAAGGGGTAGTAATGATACTCATTAAAGAAGTATCGATACTTAGGGTTTAGTAAGGATAATCCAAGGGTAAGACACTGGATTATTTTTGAAAACATCAAAGTAAATTTGGTATCGATACTCAAGGGATTATTGGTACTCTACATAGGAGTATCGATACTGTGTATATTATCAAAATATCGAACTTGAAATCAGTTTTGATACCAAAGGGGAGGTATCGATACTAAGGGATCAGTACCGATACGAAGGTCTAGTATCGGTACCAGCATATATTTTGGGCAATAAATTTTAAGGAATTGTAAAGGGAAATGAGGTTCCCAAGAACTCTATAATTACTCTCAGATAAGATTACAAGTGGAAACAATAATAATTCTTAATTACACGTAGAAATGAAATAAGTTAGAGTGACATAAAACTAGCCTTGCTGGAAGCTCGGGAAACGATCAGGACACCCTAGTTCCCCTAGTAAAGTTTAGGTTGTCGAATGTATAGAATCAGTCAAGATATCCTTAGGGAGTTCGCAAGACACTTTAAAATGACTAGCTAGGGGGCAAGGTATGACACTAGCAAGGGGTAGGTTAGTCGAGGGTGTTGTGTCCGATGCAGAGAT